AACGGACAACCCTCACGCCCGCACGCGAATGGCAACAAACGGGCCGGCCGGCGAGAACATCACCCCCCGCACATAAAACACATTTCGAAATATTCGACCGTTGGACACGATGCCCGACGAAGTGCAGAAGGAGAACCCCGCCGCTCCGACGTATGTTGCACCCGAAGCGGGACCCCCGGCTGTGTACGCGCGAACGGTAACACCAGAAGGCCGTTGGTGACCTCCCGCCGGTAGCAACCCGATATTGTCCGCCCGATGGACCACGGACGTCATGTGCACCAGCAAAAACAGAAACTTCCCGTCACGACGCACGCCCGATGACGGCCCGTCTATCACGGATCCTTGAGCCCAAGGGACCTCTCGAGGACCCCTTGAATCCAAGGATGCAATGGCTGGGGATTCCGAGGGACCCAAGGAAATCTCTTGGGAGCGTTTTCACATTTTTTCAAGGATCTTAGGACGCGGTGTAACCATAACTTTGGACATTCCTGAGGATTTTCAAGGAGGGTCTAACGAGGCCCCAAGTACCCCCCAAGTACCCCTTCTATATTCTTTTCTTTCTTTTCGAGACAACTGCGCCTGTGACCGCGGCACAGTTCAGAATTTGCAGAAATAACAGTCCACTGCACTGCAAGATTGGGCCGTGAGCAGTTCGAAACAGCAAGAAAAACAGTAAACTACGCGTTCGACGGCCTACTGGTTCATAATTGGCAAAAACGGGAGGTGGCCTGGGCTAGTGGTACCTCCCTTTATCCCGTGGCCTGTCCTGGGAGCAGGTACGGGTAGCAGGCCCTCCCGTTTTTCTTTGTTTTTTTTTTCCCCCGTTTTTGGCTTCTGGCGGGAATCGGTTCGGGCTGGAAAACGATAGCACTTTGTCAGTACAGGAAAAGCCACCGACCGCGCCATGTGCCCCGTTAACACCCGGCCCATTCTCTCTCTCTCTCTCTCTCTCTCTCTCTCTCTCTCTCTCTCTCTCTCTCTCTCTCTCTCTCTCTCTCTCTCTCTCTCTCTCTCAAGCCACCCTTAAAACTTGGATATAATTGGTCCATAAGATCTCTATTTAATATAAATTCATGAGGTAATGGAATTTCTTTAGGATCAACTCCAGCATCTAACAATTGATCAATAGGCATAGAAACATGTATAAAATTAGCTTACCATTGACTTCAAAGTAATTTAATATTAGAACTTATAGTGCTCTTGCTTATTCAAGCATGTCCTTCCAATATCCCATAGGGAATAAATAGGGCATGGGTAAAGGTCACGGCAAGACGAGCCGTTTTTCACAATAGGTGCCAGGTATAAGTGCAGTAATGCATGTAGCTGAGGTATCCTAACAGACCGAGAGATTTGAAAGCAAGAAGTGAACACAAATTCAATAAGAATTTTATCATAATTAATTTAGTTTCTAGATTATATTGTAAATTTTAAATAAACTAATATATATCATACAAATATCATACAACAAATCAAATATATTACATAGAAATTACAATTGGATTATATTGTTGTTTATAAAACTTTCTATTGTCTAGCTAATGAGAACTTGTCTATGAATGTAATCACGCATTATGTACTATGGAAACTCTGACGCCACACTTCGTGCCGGCACACGGACAAAAAAGTCTGTGTGTCTGCTGCTCGGCCTGCCAAATTGCGA